CTAGATATCAGAATTTTCACACTAGAGTCTCTTGAGTGTACAATTCGTGTTCCCCACACTATTTCCAAGTGTGATATATCCTCTGATTTCAATTTAGAAAATTAGTGTTCTTGAACCCGGCATTAAAACAGTTTCATTTTTGGTGCCAGGTGCCACCTGTGGTCACATGCTTGTTTTTCCCACACCTTTCCTAGCACCTCTCGATAGATTTTTCTTTGGTTTATACCCCTTCGTTTCATTGTTCAGGGCGGCTTAGAGCTGTAAAGGCAGCATATGTTCATTCAGTACTATAGGCTACTTTCACTGATTTATTTTTAACTTTCAGTCCCTTCTTGACTTAAGTAATTGCTCTGGTACAAAGCTGTTATCTAATTTTAAACTGTGCACGTTTAACCTCCCAGTCACCATAACAAGTATTTGTTTAAATCGGCGTAGCTGCAGAGTAGCATAATTTTCACATGTGGCCCATTGAACCTGGACCCTTATTCCTGGTTTTTCATATGTACATGCTGTGACTTTTAGAAGATTTCTCTGCTTCTTAATTTGGAAAGTTACAGATATTTTTTTCAGTTGTATTTCACAGTGGTCAGTTTTAATGAAATAACCATCCGCTTAAATGCAAGAGACAAGAACTATCTGGGTTTGAAGTCTGGGTCTACAGGCTTACTACTTTTATGATTTTTGGCAAGTTATCCGCCCTACTTCCCAGTGCCTTCTTTCTAAAGCAGTATAATAGTTGAAAAATCTCATAAAACTACCTAATAATAGTCCCGGACTGTGAGCTCCGCAAGATCAAGGATTTGTCCTGTTTACTTCTGTCACCTCTGGACCTAGAACTGTGTATGCCATGCAGCAAGGCATGTTAAACTTTTGTTAAATTCAGCAAGATAATACATTGAATGCATTTAATACAGGGCCTGGAGCACAGTAATGATAACAATAAAATATGCTTAGGTGTTTTTTTCAGCATTATTAAAGCTCTTAAATATTATTGGTTGCACTTTAAAGATGACAAATTTCATTTTATAAATGTCTTTTGCAGAAGAAATATTGATCTCCTACTCAGCCATTCTATATTAACCTCAGATAATACTCCTTACAATGAAATAAATTTGGCCTCTCTCTATTCTGTCTGCCAACATAATTTCTGGGCTGACTCATGGGTATGAAGGAAAGAATGGAAATTAAGTCCTACCCCTGAAGGGGTATGTGCGTGCGTGTGTGTGTGTGTGTGTGTGTGTGTGTGTGTGTGTGTATATCAAACTGAGATGTAAGATGACTTGTCTCCTTTTAATTTTCCCAGCAGGTATGTTCAAAGCTTTCTTTTCTGTAGTTTCCTCTAATTCTAAGTAAAAGAAACTATATTTCCAAACTCAGTTCATTTATTTGTACTCTCTGACTTAAAACACTCTCACTCAGCTGTCCTTAGTAATAGTTTTAAAAGGACGATTTTTTTTCCATTTTATTTTCCAGATGGATTTTTATAGAGTTTCTGTGAGTGCTTCAGAATTTTAAAGCAAAAGGGACCTCAGAGATCAGCTCATCTTTCTCATCACTTTATCTTACAGATGAGGAAAGGAATTAAAAAGAGAAGTTAAACTAGTTAGTGGCAAATGTAAGATGTGAAAGAGATTTGTCTTTCACTGGTTTTGTGCTGCCTCCCTTGTTTAAAAAACACATTAAAAAAAAAAAAAACCCAAAGCTAACCACATATGAGGATGCTTCAGTCTTTCTGTTTTCTTTTTTCATCCAAATCTTTGCAGAGATTACAGTGCTAAAATGTTAGCTAAAGTATTGAAACAATTCTGTATGTATCGTGTTATGATGAAAATTATTAATTTAGTTATATCTTCTGTAATAACACCACGTGAGCAGAACTTGGTTCCCTGAAACATATTGCAGAACTTCTGTTTTATTCAGGATAAAGATTAGAATATATTTATTGTTTATGGAGTATATACCATATAAAACTTTCCTCATATAGCTAAAATAAGTCAATGTAATGTAAGGGATTTTTACATATGGATGTCTGCCTTAGTATATTTTAATGTATCTTTAATATTGAATAAAGAAAGGTCAGCCTTTATTGTCAGCCTCTGTTTTTTATAATGTTATCATCCATTTCCTACTTTTATTCATGTCAGAAGGTTAAAGTGGCATAAGTATCTGCTATTGCAAAATGTATTCTCACTTCACCTACAATCATAAATTCTTGAAAGATCAGTGGAATTACATGTGCTGTAGTCTTCAAGCTTCTGAGTACATTGGACAGTAATTCGCATGATCATTTTAATGTCTAGTCATACCACTCCCTAACTCTCTTTTCTTGTACAGCTGTTAGAAGAAGTCACAACATTCTTGAGGCAGCAGTAATCATAGACACAGCTGTCATGAATCTCTGAAAAGGGTTTTTTGAAATAATTCTATCTTCATTCATTTTGAAGTGTTGAAAACATATCGCTGCATTTAAATTTACTGCAAATTTTCCTGAGTACTTAAAACTTTTAGGCGTCTCTGCTAGAGAGGTAAGAATCAGTTTACGTGATGGGGCTGAGCCTTTTTGCTCAGTGTCAGCGTAAGAGCCCCTGTCCAGAACGGAGGGGCCTATGAGGGAACATGTCTGGAGATAGTAGAACCTCCCTCTTAGGCCTGTGTTCCACAGTCAGTCATGAATTTATGCAATTAATAATTATAGTGCAGAGTACAAACTTATCTTCTTATATAATGACTGTTGGAAATTTGTCGATCAAAGAGGTGAGTAGCATCCTTAGTTTTACATTTAAATATATACAGTAACAAATATATTACAGTGTAAATATTGAAATAAAACATACTTATTTAATATAAAGAGGCTTGTTATTTATAATATTAAGAATCAGTATCTAAATTTAAAGTAGCAGTGTTAACTGACTGTGTAACTTTTTGCAGTGACCTCCAGCAGCTCACTGAAAAGGATTTTTTGTGCATTAACATTTTTTATATTTTAAGTTTAGCTTAGTCAAATTCCTAATCATTCTTTTCCTCTGCTCCCTTCAGTTGGGTCGTCAGTGAGTTCAGTTTGTGTTGCAGCTAAGGTGTTATGCTGGGGCTAATCTCTGTAAAATGCTAGCATTTGTTCTTCTTTTTCCTTATCATCAATCTTTCACACTCATATCAAACCCCTAATGTATCAGCAGGTTTCCCAGAGCTACTGGTTAAAATTACCTTTGCTTTTGGTAAACTCTGAACCTTCAAGCCTCAGTGTTTTCAGTTGCCCCCCTGTGGATTCTGTGAAGCCTCTCTCTGCACATTCCTCACTGCCAGTCACTTGCTTTATGTCCTGAAACCAGGAGGAGAGCCCGTTGATTATTCCAGCTATACCCACCATCCTTCCTTAAACGGAGAGAACGTGTAAATATTTCCAATAATTGGTGTCACTTATGCAAACTATAGGTGAAAGTGGTTAGAACTCCCAAAGCAAGATAGCTTGTGTTTATTTTACACAGTAATAATACAGATATTTTAAACCTAGCTGTTTTCCAAAGTTCTTTGCTTTTCTGACACTGTAGAAATTGGCATATTTACTTGTTTGTCTTGAAAGCAAATGTGCTGCAGTTATATAATTTATATCTTAAAGTTGATCTCATTAATTTTCGTACATTAATAGTTCATATTTTATTTGTTTTATATCCTTCTGTTTGCATACTCTTTTTATATGTATATACTTTTCTTCATCACTTTGTAAATGCTTTTCTTTCATCCAGTCTGACTAGGGCTATTCCTTACTAGTAAAAATGGATTCCAATGCAGGTTGGATATCATGGGTCATGGTGCATGCTGTTTTCACCTTTTGCTTACTATAGTTTCCACACACAATTATTAGGTTATAATTTTATTCTTTTGGAAAACTGACTCCTGCCTTTGAGTATAATGCTTTGATTGTTGGTGTGAATTTTTTTGTTGCTTCTGATTACAGACCCCTGTTCAGTATTGTTAGTCTTATTAAGGGTTATAGTAAACACCTGGGGAATTCTTGAAAATTAATAGAAAAAGGAGAATGCCCTTTTTTCTTTGAATAACAACATATTTTTAGTAGCCCTTCCCTCAGGTAAATAAGATTCTAAATGTTCTCAAACTTTGATTTTTCTATTTGGCAAAAAGCCTTAGACTCATGATGATGAAATAGCCATCTAAGTTTGAAATTAAAGATACTCACTTTGAAAGTTGCTTAAATATTTTTATACTTCAAAATATAACATATATGCCTTTGTTTATTTTCAAGTGTTTAATAAATAACATTTTCTAAAACAGTCACACACAAAAAAAGTATTAGCACATCAAAGCAAGCAAACAAAAACAAAAATTATCTTGAGTGTCTTGTCTCCAAAAAGGTCTCAGTAGTAACAATAACTCAAGACATTTTTCCAGAGATGCCAGTGCCCCTTCACATTTGTTATTATGTAACCCTTTGATATATAAAAGTCTGTGGTGTTCTTTCTAAAGTGGAAGTAAGGCACCAAGTGTTACATCATTTGTTAAGAGCCACACTGTGTTCTACGGGATGTTTCTGTGAGAGTTAACAAATATGATTTATTTATGCATACTCTATTAAATTGTTATATAATGCTATTTATTTTAAAATAAATTATCTTAATTATTTGGGTTATGCAATCCATATTTTTTTTTTTAAATAAAGCCAATGTGAATTATTTAAGTAGGTATTCTTGTCAAAATTACTTTTTTCCCCTTAGGTATGCTTTCTAAATTTTTCTTGGATTGATCAAAAGGTCATAAAAGTTTAACCCACCACATTGTTTAGTACAGATGTTATGTACTATTTAAAGGTCAGGGAGTAAAGAAGAAATTAAAAACTTTTTAATATGCTCAAAAAAGAGTTTTCTGATCCTAATGAATTAACTTGGTGATGCTTTTAAATTCAAAATTTTGTATGTAATTTCTTACCACAGCCATGTCTTTATTTTTATACACCTCTTATTTTTTTTGGTTTGGTTTTTTTGCAGTTGGTACACCTTATTACATGTCTCCAGAGCGAATACATGAAAATGGATACAACTTCAAATCTGACATCTGGTCTCTTGGCTGTCTACTATATGAGGTAGGTAATGTTGATAAATTCGAAATACTGATGCAGTTTTACTTACTGTATTTCCTCTGTTGTTATAGTATGTACTTATTTTTTTCTGAATGTTTAAGAATCAGCTTTTTAATTATGAAGAATTATTTGTTGGGTTAGTAACTTTGTATAATGGAAATTAATAACTATACATTCTTATATATCTAATATATTTTTAAATTGTGTTCTTTTGATGAGAAGTTTATTTTTAAAACATTAACTTTTATGTTTATATAATGCTTTTTTTGTATATCTTGCATTTATAAAAATACACATTTGAACATCTATAAACCTTGATCCATGAATTACAGCAGAGGTATAATGGATTGGATTTAATACATATGAAAGTATAGTAAATATCTTTATCAAAATAGTATTTCACTTTTACACAGGTGTAATTTAGCATTAAGGATAGTATGCAAACAGATAGTTCTTCTAGGTTATCAATTTAATTTCCATGAGTAACAATTTGTGTGGGTAAAGCTCAGTGAAATCCTCTCTCTTTTGTTCCCACTGGTGATCATTTATCAAAGGAAGATGGAATCATGTAGGTAGGTCCTTTAGAAATGTTGGACTGTAGTAATTTGGATGTATAGAAGAAAGGATATTAGCAACACATTTTACATCTATGTTATAGAGCAGTGGTATAAAAGTATCTCAAGCTAGTGACTTCCGTAATTTTGTTTTAATTGAATGATAATTTTCCTAGGAATTTAGGCTTCAAATATAGGCTCTGAGTCAAAGCTGTTAATTAAAAATTAGTCTATATCTAAGTAGGTTTTAATAAAGTGAGGAAATATAATACATGGAAGCATTTTCATGTCCCTGTGTGGAAATCATTTTCGTATCTCTGTGTACATAACAGAAGTCTAAAGAGGATGGACAGATGCCAATGCATTTCTTACTATTATATTTTGTGTCTCTTGTCCTCCTGACTTAAATGAAATATATGGTGAAGTCATCTCTTTTAATTGTGCCACCGTTACTTGGAAGTAGAGCATTAGGAGGTGTTGTTTGACTTTTTAAGAATGCATGTCATGTTCTTTTATTATTTTGATTGCAGATTCAAATTTCCTTGAAAACCGGAAATTATTTATTTTGTCCTTTTTACCAAAGTGATTAACAACTACTTAAAATGAAAAGATTTTTAAATATTCTTAAATAAGCTCATACTTTGGATTATTTTTATTGTGAAGAATTATGAGTCATGTAACAAAACATGTTTTTATGTGTGCACAGGAGATTACAAGAGATTATGCTCACTGTGTTCTGTTTTGTTAATAATTTGTTACAATGCTGGAAAAAACTGGTTTGATTATATTGTTACTATAATGTTTAAAAGTAAGTCACTCTGTACATTTAAAATATTTTACACCTGTTAACCTTAGATTCCTGTAGGCCATAGTCTAATATTATCAAAGCAACATTTTCTCTTTAAATCCCTTAAAGTAAATAGCAAATTGGTTTCCAATAACTAGTTTAAATTTAGCAATAAAAAAGAAAAAGTTCTGTTGAAATAATAAGTGGTATTTGAGAGGGTGTTTGCATAATTCTTTTAGGTCTAGCAGACTCATGTCAAAACTGAAATAATTTATCACATTTTGAATTTGCCTTTGAGAGACAGTGTCCCATTTTTATGTGAATTTAAAATGCCATGGAAATAAAAATTACGTCTTTGGACATTCCTGCATCCATGAGTTATGTGTATTGTGGATGATTTTGAGTTAAGTATCTATCATGCTAACATGAGTTTTCATACCAATGCATTTTCTTGATTTCTCCATGCCAGCCTTTTAGAAGAACTAGAATTTTTCTAAAGATTTAATGTAACTTTATGTTCTATCTCTTTTCAGTTATGTTTCAATGTAATGTTAATAGAAATATCTAACAGTTTGGCTTTAAAATATTGGTCATAACATCACGCAGATATTTTATATTGTATCCCACTAAAAAGTTACTATTAACAATGAAGACATAGGAAGCCTTTTTTGAAAATGTAGTTTAAACTCAGAAAATTAGACTTTCAAATATTCCTGAAACCTCAAAAAAAAAAAAAAAACTAGCAGTACAATTTTAATTGATATGCAACAAAGTAGACTTTACTAATTAAAATCAAGATGCTGTGCTTTTGCTACACGGACCTTTACATGGAAAAGTAGGTTTTACACATTTCCTTTATTGTTCAGCGCAGCAATTGCATCCTTACAGGGTTGTAGGTTGGTGGCTTACAGTTCAAAAAAAAAGAGAGCTGCCACCAGCCCCGAAGACAGACAGTGGGCTTTCGTCCCTCCGACACCCCCAGAATACTAATCAGGAAAGTCAGACCCTGGAGGTCAGGGAGTAAGTCAATCATCCTAGCGATCGTCTCAGTGTGGAGGATCAAATTAGCCTGAAAAATTCAGCTGCTGGGAGGAGAGGGCGAGCAGCTGTCAGGGGCGGCATCGAGATGCACTAATGAACCAGATGAATAGTGCAAAAGCTTGAAAATAAAAACAGGACAGTTGACATTTTTCATCTGTCAAAGCAGGAGATGCATGAAAATATACTATTCCTGTTTAACTCCTTAGGGGACATTGAGATTTTTATTAACACTCTGCAGTACTGAGAAAAAGGATTGTAATGAATGCCTAGCATATGATAATGAATGTATGTACATTTACCTAAGGTTTTGCAAACACAGAGAAACTATAGTTTATATATACGGTGTATCTTTAAGGTACCATTTATCATAAAGTGTTTTTGCATTTAAAACAAAAATTATTATTGTTATTATTGCAGTTCTTTTGGAAATTTCCTCTCAGAGCATTTTATATGATTAGTGGCATTCAAATTGTTTGTAATTTTTTTCTCTTCATGTGAAACAACTCTTCCTAAGGTACTGCTTTATAGGTGTGTGCACGTTTATACAAAGCATAGGCAAGATAAAAAAATGTGTTGAGCTACTTTCCGGTTTTGCTTTCCAAACCCATCCCCGTCTCATCAAGGCTCTGAAGGAGTTAAAGCACTGTCTGGAGCACAGAAGACAGATGAGAGCCGTTTTCAGCTTGTCCTGTCCCCACTGACGCTCACTCAGTAGCACAGCAGGGCCCAGCGTGTTTCACACACACTCTGCCTGTCTGGGGAATGTACACATTGTCCTTCCAAAATCAAACTTATTAGCACGTGTAGAAAAGGGTGACTGACTTTGGGGCAGCCTGGCACTCCGTGTTGTATTCTTGCTGCCGCGGTTCAAAGATTTAGAAGGTTTTGAACAGGATGCGAACATTTTAAATTGAATTTTTAGTTTGTAACCCTGCTTACCACAGGACTCGCTTGCACTTTAAATGTCAAGTTAGAACCTTGTCTTAAAATACATTTAAATTCAATAATGTCTTTTTTAAAGTTGCTCATCCTTCGAGTCATGTTTTTCTGCATAAAAATCTCATTTGGAAGCCTTGAATTACAGCTATGATTCGTAGAGCTTTTGAACATATTTAATGTTTTTGAGACATTGTCAAAAGAAAAGAGTTCTAATTAATTGTAAACTATTTGGGGATCAGTTATTATATTTATATTGAGAAGACTTTGTTTTCTTCTCAGAATAACCTTTATTCAGAAACTAATATACAAGAGAAAATGCTCTGTATCCTCTTCCCTAAGCAAGATTTCAATTCAGTTTTAACTTCAGTTTCATGTTTGTTTTATATGGTTGAGCTATACGGTGTAATGGCGATTTTGTCATGAGCTATACCAGTTGTTTTTATGTCATTACAGGTACAAAGAGTTTTAAAATTACGTGTTATTTTCTTAATGTTTTATGTTGATTTGTATGTAAAGAAATATGCTATTTCTCTATTTTAGGGAATTTTAAATGTTGAAAAAAACCCCAAAAGTTGCAGTAAGATTTTTAACTCTTAACGAATATCCCCAGAAAGGGATATTCATAAAAATCAAAATGCCCAGATAACTTTATTTGAAATATTTGTAATTATTTTCTACCCCAGTATAATATACTTGACGAAATCACCTTTTAAGTTACCATGTAACTATATCAGTTTCATTGGGGACATTTTACAGATGGCTGCATTACAGAGTCCTTTCTATGGGGACAAAATGAATTTATACTCGCTGTGTAAGAAGATAGAACAGTGTGACTACCCACCTCTTCCTTCAGATCACTATTCAGAAGAAGTAAGTCTTTTCCAGTCCACATGTTTGTCCGTTGTTCATTTTGCTAACATTTTTATTTTATTAAGAAATTTTACTTTATCTGGAAATGCAAATGAATGGCATAGGTGGCAGAACTAGTACTTTTTATTCTGTTTTCATTCACCTGGAGACTTGCTGTCTGAAGAGTCGACTGCACTTCATAATGTGTAGTGGAACACAACCCAGCGTGTGGTGTAAAATTGGCCACTTTCTAGGTGTGATAAGAATAGTAGCTGACTCTGCAGTGTACTCAACGATGCAAAGGGCAGAATTAATGCTCATACCTAGGCTCTAGTTAATCATCATGTTCGATGGCCCCTCTTAACAGGGCTAACTCCTTATTTTCACAGTTCCAGACCCACACACAGTTGTAACTTGCTATTTTGGCAGAACTTCCCATTCATCCATGTTTTCCAAAACTCGAAACGTGCATCTCTTAACTACGTATCTCTGAACCTTATTCTTTAAGCCTTACCTTCCCTCCTTTGACAATACCTGTCCTGTCATCACCTCACTGCTATACTCAGATTCCACTAGGGAAATATTTTGAGGTTATCATTGTAGACGTGTTTAAAAAGTGTGTTAACTGTGGCTGAAAATCTTAGAAGGCTACCTTATTAAGATGTGAGTCTGAATGCTTGCTTGCTTTAGTAACCCATTGAAATGAGTTGTTTTGGCTCTACCCAGTGTCCATTCTTTCATTGAACAGAACGTCTCCCATTTTAGCCTAATACATCATGATTTTACCAATAGTTAAGGAGGAGGTATGCAGAATAGCAGTATCTCAGGTCAGCTAAAATGTTTCATATAAGCTCTTTGTGGAATACTCATCGGGGACCTACCCAGAGAAAATAGTGTCTTGAGTTAGGACATCCCACCGTCTCATGAGCAACAGATTTTTTGCCCCAGGAAAATGGAAAGGAGAAAAGGAAAAATATAAAACAATTATAATGTTCACTTATTAGGTAATCATGTCAGTCTTTCTATTGTGAAATGAATAGCATTGGGTCTTAGTATTATATAAGGAAATTTGAGTTCGTGTAACTTGAATAATAAATATCTCTAAAGAATTTTCACCACATGTAAAGCGTTTGTGTTCCTAGAATATAATAGGCACTTTTTCTTCTGGCAGTTTTGATACTGATAATCAGTGATGCCTGTTTTTTGCTCCATAGCATTTGTATTCAGGTAATTAGAATAAACTCTTACACAGCAGTGATGATAATTTAAAAGTATTATCTTTATTTGATGTTAATAGTATTATGTTAGCCATTTTTAATTACTATTTTGGGTATAGACTATAAATATGGCATTTCACAAAACCAACTTCAGAACCGTAGGCCTGGAAATACAGTAGGGTGTGAACAATAATGCAAAATGATAGCAAGAATGTCAGGGGCCTTTCTTTGTTGTGTCATTCATGCTGTCTTCTTTTTTCCATGAAGCGCATGAATATTTCACATATCTGCATCCTCATCCCCTATTCTTCTTGACTAATTTTCAGACTGTCTGCATTTGCATTTCACATGGTAGCTGATTAGGAGATGCCGAGTGCAGCAGCGAAGCCTCAGCAGGCGGTTACCATGGTGACCTTCAGCAGGATTTTAATGATGCTACCACTAGTGGTTCGTTGAAGTCGGCCTGCCTGCAGGGCTACTTCACTGCAGCTAAGTGTGAAGTTGGATACGCGGATCCTCAGCCAAGGGGCAAATATCAAAGTCTGGCCCAGATAGAAGGTCTTAGAGTTGGGAAAGGAAAATGGATTCCACTTTTTACTTCCCTCTATATAGTTTCCAGTTTCGAAAAGAGCTGTAAAGCAAAACACATTATATGGTGTACTTTCCAAAAAAGTGTGATTCCTCATATTGGTAAAATTTGTTGTCATTCCCTGATGAAATAGAAAGCTGTAATTTCTAGGTAAATGTGGAAAATAATTCTTACTAAGGAAATGAATATAAAAATATGCAGACTGTATAACAATGTTACTTTAATCTGTTTAGTTATGTAGAAGAGTTCTCAAAATAAGAGCTTTGAAATGCAGATAAATAAATATTTTCTCTTCTTAAGTAGCAACTCAAATTTCTTTGTAAAATAATTATTCAGAGTTCATGGTAGCCAAAAATCCCAAATTTGGAAGTATAATAATGTCTTAAATATTTTTGATAATTTAGATCTTTTAAAAATTCAAATTACTGTTTAATTTGTTAGTATGGCAAAATACAGGAACCAATAAAAAGTGAAGTACAGAGTTTTTCAACAGTGAACTTTTAATGAAAAGACAGTTTATTTTGTTAATTTTATAGGTAAAATGGTAACAAACTATGTAACTATTTGAAAACTAAAAAATTTTAAGCAAATCAATTTACTAAATATGTATTTGCAAGCTTACCAAATTTACTTAGCTACTGCCAAATTTTTAAGGCCACTGCCCAAACAAGATTTTAAGGGAACGTTTTGTGAGAGTACTAGCTATACGTGCCAATCGGCCTCAGTTGATAGGAATTCTAAGGAACCCTACACAAATTATTTCTAGACATAGTCATTCTATTTAGAAGAACTCGGAGTTTCAAAGTTCGGATTTTTTTTTTCCTATATTATATTCTAAAACATGTATAACAGGTAAGCATTAAAACAAAAAATGAGAAGTAGTTTTAGAAAAATAAGCCTGTACGTCAAATCTTTTCTTTGAATTATGCTAGACTTAGTGTGTACAAATGATTGGGGTTCCAGATTGAAGTATTTCATCTACACATGAATGATATTAGGGAATCTATATTTTGTGGCTTATTTAAATATTTTTCTTTCTGATTTCTTTTGGTGTTTTGTATTTTTTCCTTTTTCTAGTAATGATCTCATTCATGTATTAATGGACAGTTACTATATTTAAGCAAGGGTCCTGGGTTGAAAAGATATCTTTCCTTGAATATCTCTCAGTTTAAGTGAAACTTGGTATTGTTGGTGACAGTGAAGCAAACATTTACTTATGTATAAGGAATTGTGACTCAAAAGCCTCATAAACGGACCTGGGCTCATCTCTCAAGGATTGTTGATCATCAGATATTCTTTTCTTATTTTTCTAACTCTATCAATGCAAGTTCCACTAGAAGTTCCATGAATTTTCATGTTTTTATAGATGATGTTTCCTCTTTCGGAAATACCTCTTTCCCTGTTCTTTACCAAACAAACTCATTCTTTTCCTTTCAAATATAACTTGTACATAAAGTTTTCCTGTGTGGTTTTCCCTGACCTCCTTTCTTCTCTTCCTGTTACTTCCTCCCTTGGCAGTTACACCATGTTGTAGTAGCTTCCTTGCACGGATGCCTCCCCTGCAGGCTGTCAAGCTCCCGCCATTGAGGATCAGTAACTCTGCTACTCATCTGTATATCTCTAGGGCCTGGGGCCAACACATTTTTAAAGGCTTAGTAATCAATTGATTGATTGATTGAGGGAGTGAGGGTGGGAATCTGAGTTAAAGGAATAAATTTTTTAAAAGAATGGATGAACCAATAAATGAGAACTGAATGAGCGAGAGAAACTTCTCCGAAGAACTCTCTCTAGAGTAAGGCAGAAAATTACTTGCAAGATAGGCCAGAGGATGTGATAGTTTTCTTTGATTGATATTGCTTCCTATTTTATATAAGCATCATTATCTCTGTAATGCCAAGTGTGCATTTACTGGGAAATAAGATAAATAGACTGTTTTCCTTCAGTTTCAGTATTTAATTTCTTTGAGAGACATTGGAGTAGTCACCAAAATTATGCATTTGTTCACTAGCTTATCTTATGAATTCTAAGTAAAAAACAATAGTAAATAGCTATATTGTTAATTATTTAGAAATTTAACTGATGCTGTTAAAAATGTCAGCGTTAATATCAAACAAAATATATACTTTGTTTCATTCAATACTTTTTGTTATTAAAAATTTCTAGTTTGAATACAGAAAGCATAAGAACAGTTGACACAGTGGTGCCTCAGTGGTTGCTTTTAACAGATTTCATGTTAGGTTAGAGGAGATAGCTTTGGAAGCAAGTTCTGTAAGTTGAGTACAGGGTTTACAGGTGAAAGTTTAAGAAATGGAAATGAGAAAGAAGTATAAAGCGTGCCCTTGGTTCAAGAAAATTGGGTAGAGATAAATTGAAGACTAAAGACAGTGCTTTGAGTAAAAAAGAAATTTAAGCACCTGTCAAACATTGGAAAGATGGTTAAAACGTTTTTAATAAAGTAGACCATTGTTACAACAACACTTGCTGATCTGCACTACTACTACTAAATAAATAAACATCTGCTTACTATGGCAGATGTTTATCTATTTAGTAGTAGTTTTAAATGTATTATAAGAAAGACTGATAAAGGATACAATATTTCAGTATTTGTGGTTATTGTGATTATATTCTGATTATATTTTCAAAAACTTACTAGTTTAGTAAGTCTCATTAATGCTTTTTATAGGTTAAGAAACCTAAAAATTCTGATTTTGGAATCAGAATTTTTAATCCAGTGATTAGTTTTCACATTACGTAATGTCTCTTTTGTTTTACATTAAATTTGTGTTCATTGTATGACGTTATACCTCCAGCCCATAGACAGAAAACTTTGTTATTTAAAAAAAATCAAGTAATGAGACTACTCAAAAAAATTATACCATAAAGTATCAACCTGAAAGGTCACATTCAATCAAAGAACTAATAGAGAATGAATGAACCATAAATGTTCACCTCATAAATGCTAATGAATATATTTTGGTTTTACCTCTTTTCTGTTATTTTTGTCTTCCTCTTTCAGGTGGACAGTGTCCCTCTCCTTTTTTTTTTTTTTTTTTTTTTTTTTTTTTTTCACTTTTTTTTTTTTTTTTTTTTTTTTTTTTTTTTTAAGTTAGAGAAACATAGGCAGGAGGGGAGGGTTCTTTCTGGCCTCTCCTGAAATAGTTTAGCAGTGCAGCCTGGTAATATCTTTCCTGCTGCTTCACTCAAATGTTTACAAA